TGTATAGGAATGTAAAAATTCCTTTAATTTTTTACTTAAAGTACAACAACCAAATACAGTGGGATGGGAGGAAAGAATCAACCTTAACTGAAAAATTTAATTTGTTACTTAGTGTAAACGTTTCAAAGTGAAAATATGGAATTTTAATAGTTCTTGAAAGTTATTTTCGCCTCCGACCTCTTTACTCTGGTAGCTCAATATTTTGTAGTGTTCTACTGTTCTATGAGAACAAAGTAAGCCGCTTTGCAGTTTCCCGCTTTCTTTTTCTTTGCTCTTGTCAATCAGTCAATGATGCTTTTCGATTTTTCCCCTACGCGATGTTTACTCTCGTTTTCTTGGTTAAAATGATTCAAAGATTTAAGGCTGGCAAAATAGTTTGGGTCCTCTTGAATTTGATAATTTTTATTTAGTGCTCCCTTAAATTTGACGTGATATTTAATACATTTTTAAATTTGATATTTTAATAGCCTCAACCATTATGGAGTGTGACACACATGCTGTCACATGAATTTTTTTGTTTATGTGGAATTCTTTTACAATAAAATATATATTTTTATCTTTTTAAGTACACTAATTATTTTTTTGTGCTAAATCTGTAAATAAAATAACTTGGAACAATATTATTTTGACTATAATTTTTTATTTGGCTAAAGATAATAATATTTTAATCAAGTTATATATATATATATATATATATATATATATATATATATTATTTTGGATTAATTCTGATTTTTATATATTTGGTCAAGAAAAGAAGGAATATACTGTTAGAACATGTAATCACTGCATCTAAGAAAAAATTAAAAAAAACAAGTTGTTGGAACTCCTTATTTTCTAAAATTAATAAAATTTCAATAAATATTTTGCGAATTTGACCCCAAAAAGAATAATGCATAGTTTAAATTAATAGTCATTGCATGAAAAAGAAAAAAAAAACACGATGCCTTTTTAAAAAAATTAGAAGATATACAATTTGAACGCATTACTTTGGCTAAACCTTCTTTTTATTTGGCTAAAAGAAATAGAGTTTCAACCAACTTTTGTAGATTTGGACCGGGAAAAAAGAATATAGTTGAAACAAATATTCATTGTATCTAGAACAACACAATTGAGATAAAATATGCAAGAAACAACGACAAATTACAATTGGAACAAATAAATCGTTATATTTGATTATGTGATAATTAATATTTATAAAATAAATCACTTGGAAGCTGATTTCTCGATTTTTCTTTCCTCCCACGCGCATAAAAGAGAGTGTATTCATTCCTTTTGCCATATCAATGTGTAGAGGGGGTCGAGACTATTAAATTTTTAAGTTTAAGGGGGGGGGGGGGGGGGGGAGTATTAGAGACCACGTAAAATTTAAGGAGGAACTAAACAAAAGTTGTCAAGTTTAGGGAGGTCTCGAATATTTCTGCTTTTAAGGGACAGATTGGGCATAAATAGTTATTTTGATATTTTAGATACTTTTTTTTATTCTCCTTTGATTCTCTTTGTTGGAGCTATTGCTTATTCGGTGACTCGCTAGAATTGTAAGTGGGGTGTTAATCATTTGAGCAATATTTAAAATAATAGTATAATTTGAAGTATTGGTTTGAGAAATATCTTTAGTGAAAGAATGATTTTCATTCATAAATCTTCAACTTTCACAAGTATTTTTCCAAATAAAATTTATGTCCGCGCACAATTTCAGCTGCACAATACTCTTTTTTTTTCGTTCAACTTCAAATACTCTCTTTGTTTTTCAATTTCAACTATTTACATATTTTCCACACGCATACTTGGCGCCTGTCACCTTCTTCTCCATTTTACATTCCTATATTCCAATGAATAAATTATAGAAATTTCATCTTGTCTTTCTTTACTAATCACAAATTCACAATAACGATCACATTCAAACCAAATTTGTCTGGTTCCTTTATATATGTAACTGTCTTGACTAATAAGGTATGGAAGAGAAATTTAGCTGCCAAATTCGACGTTTCCTACTAATTTCTCTATGACCAAGTCAATTATAAGAAATATAATATTTGGTAGTCTTAGCTACATGTAAACCACAATACTCGGTACTGCATTTCATCAAACATTATGTGTCCAAGTCAATTATTCTCCTTCTTCTTCGTCTTTCTCCTTCTTCCTTTGTTCATCAACTCCAGTGAAGCTAATACTAATACATCCTTTGCATATTGTCCTCCATTTATCTGCCATGGTCGTAATATTTCGTATCCTTTTTGGAGCCTTGACAGTTTCAACTCCACATCTCCACGGTACTGTGGTTATCCAGGATTTGGGATCCACTGCTCTCAAAACAATCCAATTCTTAACATTTCAAATGATTCTTTCTTCGTTAAAGACATAAATTACAGCACCTACTCCCTTACCCTGGTGGATATTGATGCTTTTGGTAGCACAGCTTGCCCCAGGGTACATCATAACCTCACTCTGGGAGATTTGCCATTAAAATATTCAGAGCTTGATCTAAACCTTACCTTCTATTTTAACTGTATCAATTCGCTTTCATCCGGTCGTCCGTTAGATTGCTTAAATTCGGGTCGAAACAAGTCATATTTATATGTTGAGGATAATGAGCCTGATCATTTGAATTGGTACGGAATTTGTGACAAGAAAGTGGTGGCGACGGTGATGGACAGTGGGAGGAATCGAGAACTCGGTGTGGCTGTGGGTGAGGAGTTCACTAGAGGACTTGGCGCGGCAATGGACGAGGGGTTCGTGCTGGACTGGCGGATCGCAACGGAGTGCGGCAAGTGTGAGGCATCAGACGGGCGTTGTGGTTACGACAATTCAACCAACGAGTCCTTGTGCTATTGCAAAGATGGCACCGTAAAGTTTGATCACTGCAAAGGTACGTTTTCTTTCCGATGTTTTATTTATATATAGATACACTGATGATAGTTTAGAAGGGGACCGTAGTGTAATTGGTAAAGTTGCTGCTATGGGTAATTAGCAGCCTTTTGCAGAATTATGGGTAATTACCTGTTCGATGATCCGTAGAAATTCTTTATACTGATTATGTCTATGTGTTAAATCCTTGTTCTAGTATGAGTACTTAGGTATTTCTGTTTCATTCTCAGATAATATTGTGTTTTATTGGAAATAACCTCTCTACCTTCTTAGGTATGCATACACACTTTGTTCCCAGACCCACGGGATTTCTTCTTGTTGTTGTTGTCTCTGATAAAATTGTGATCAGTATCGTCCAATTTTGCTGCTTTGTGTAGCTGTTGATCTTTCTATATCAAGGTTAAACTTTTGGTTGCTGTATGATTGAAGGGTAGAGATAACGCGAAGACTTTTTTCTCTCATTCCATTTCTTTTAGTAGGACAGTCATTAACGTCAATGGTATTAGGGTCATTGACTAGCTGGCTTTAGAATTTTGACTTTGTCACAAAATATCATAGCCCTATCACCATCTCAACATTAGTGCCTTCATAACTCAGCTAAGTTTCGCAGCAATTCATATTTGCTTTTCACCCTATTCAAATCTCGTTGGCCTAATCCACAAAACTGGAGCAGCAGTTAGGTGGGTCGTTAATAGTTCAATATTGCAGAAAAATTAAGTAAACGGCTAAAGGCTAGAATATTATTGAATCCAACACTAATATGGATGAACTACTTATCAACAAACTAGTACTACATCACTGCTAAAATGCCCCTTAATTTTTTGAGTTGCTAAGCTCCAAACCCAGAATCTTTTGGAAATCGTAAGTTCTACTCTTTTCTTCCTAATTTATTTGACACTTTTATCTTATCAAAAGCCGTCAAATTCAAATCACCTTAAAATAATTAATTATATTAAAAACTTTAATATTTAAAAATACACAAAATTGCTATATATTGCAATTCTCCAAATACTAAACGGAGATGAATACATTCTAAATTATGGTCAAAGTTCAGGTTGTTTGAATCTTGTGACACTATAAACAGATAAATTCAATGAAATCTCATAAATCGAGAAATGTAAACTTTCTCTTACAAATGCATGTCCAAAATTTCCTCTTCCTCTACTCCACCTCATTCTCACCATCATACTCTTTTTTGATTACTTCCTCATCATGTTGTGGCAAAAAATATGAATGGCGCTCCATTTATAATTGCTCCTATAGTCATATGATAATTCGATGTAAATATGTTTTAGCTCTTTCGTTTGTTTCCCATTTAATTTTTGTACTTTCGCTGGACCGTTAACAAATATAATTCATTACTTTTGTATGGTTTGTACTTGTTAGTCTTTTAGCTCTTCATAGGTCAACCACAAAGAAAATGCCTGATAATAAATATAAAACATAAGAATAAAATCCGGTAGAATGCTCAATAACTAAAAAGGGCATTTTTCACTTTTAGCCCGCACCAGAAACTATTTAAATTCGGTAGCCGAAAAAGTGTATAAAGTTTGTATAACTTTTGTATATAACATACAGAACGTATATAACAAATATACAATAAATAATATTTTTCCGGCTATTATTTTGGGAGCAGCTATACAGTATCATTTTCCCAACTAGGTAGAAAGAGCCGAGGTCAATGCATGCCTTAATAAGATCTAATAGCGTTAAAATAGCACGGGCTAGCCAGTTTTTGGACTGGTCATTCAAAAATAGCAGTGTTTGCAAAGTCATTGAAAAATAGCCATTATTTTGCTGCAACAGTGACTGGTCCAGCATAATATACTGGAGATCGGTGCACCTGTGTATGAACTTCCAGCATATTATGCTGGAACTCCAACACGCGGAAAGTTCTAGCATAATATACTGGAGATTGGAGCATCTGTGTATGAACTTCCAGCATATTATACTGAACCAATTTCCAGTATATTATGCTGGAGTTCCAACATACTTATGTTGGATCTCCATTATAATATGCTGTAGTTCCAGCATAAGTATACTGGAACTCCAGTATATTATGTTGGAGTATTTTCCGGATTTTGAACAGTGTTTTCGTTCAGATTTATCTTTATATGAAAAGTAACTAAATTTCGATTATTTTTGAAACTGTGGCTATTTTTGAATGACCACTTGTAAATCTGGTTATTTTTGAATTTCTCCCTCTAATAGCTCATTATAGACTGCCAAAGGCCAGCCCAAATAATAAGGTTAGAGTTGGAAACCACCCAGCGTAAACCCATTTAAGCGATGCCCGTTTCAATACCATAAACTAGATAGCATTTCCTGGTAAAAAGTGCAGATATACTCATTTTTTGGATCATTATTGAACTTATACTAGCATTGCAAAATTTTTAAATTTTACCCACTTTGGAGCACACTTCATATGTCGCGTATGAAGTTCCAAAAATTAGGAAATTCAGGTAATTTTTGCGTCTGGAGTTCTCCTCGTAACAGTGCAAACTTTAGACGCAATGTTAAAATTTTCAATTAATGTTCGCTCTAAAGTTCTTTCCTCGGGGCGGAGGAGGAGGATGGGGAGTCAGCTGGTGTGAAGTTATCTTACTTTGAGTACCAATTGATTTTTTTTAGAGTTAGTAAACGTTAAATAGGGGCAACTAAATTGGATGTCCCGTGAAATTTTTATAGGGAAAAAGGTGTTTGAAGAAATTTCTCTTATTGGCTATCCCGTTAAATTTTAACAAATATAGATATCCTCAAACTTGTGCTCTTCCTCCTCTTTTTTTCCCTCCTTCTTTTCCGTCTTCTTCACATATATTGTGAAAACTTGAAGACTCATTGCTTATTTGTTGTCAATTTGGTGAAGAAACTTGAACATTATTATTAGATTTTTTGAGCTTAACTGTTGAAGAAGAAAGCGTAAGTTTATTGCTATTTGAAGGTCTAGGTTGAATCCAACCATTGGAAATGTTAGGATTAGTAATAGAATATTGAATAGCAAATTTGGAATTGATCTGGACCAATTGGATCAATTTTGAAGCAAAGCGTGCTGGTAAAATTTCTTAGAAACTTCTTGTGATTCGTTAGGAATTGTGAGCAATTTGTCCCAAATTTACGAACTCTGGCTGATCCATCAGATTTTGTGAATAATTTATTTTAAAGTTACGATACAATTTATACTAAACTACTGATGAATTGTCAGGCCTTATGGCAAGTCCATCTATTAGAAAATCCTGCTGATTCACTAGGACATTTTGTTCAAAAGTTTCACTACTAGAAATTCGGTCAAAATCGGCCGCTAGCGACCAACTTCGATCGGTCAAAAAACCAATTGTCAGTTTTTCAAAATATTTTATTTTTTAAATTTTTTTATGAATCCAACCAACTCCTTTCGGTGTTTTTACTGCAAAATACCGGAAACTATATTTTGCGCCTCGCAAAATTTATTTTTCAAGAAAACGACCAACTTTGATCAGCTTTTCATTTAAAATAAATCAAAATTAATATTCAAAAAACCGATCAAAATCGGTCAGTTATTTCGGTCGGTCATTTTAAAATACCAATCAATTTCAATCGATAATTTTATTTTTTTAGTAAAACTTGATCGTTTATGAAATTTAATTGAGTTGATCGAAATAGGTGGGAGAATACCAACCGAAATAGCTCATTTCGCGTTGCATCGATATTTCCTTTAGATAGTTAGTCCTTAAAGGGAATGTGAACATGGTGACTAAACAGAAGTTAGAGTACTCTTTTTTCCTCTTCATTTCTTCACTTTCGGTTCAACCAACTCAATTTAGAAACCTAAGGTCCTACACTCAATCTAAACTCAAATCATTTTATCCCCACATTGCTCAAATCTCAATTTTTCCAATCTCCCTTTTCCTTATACTAATATTTTAACTATATCTTGACTTGCTTAAAAGGTAGTAGTTGGAATTTGACGTCAGCTAATAGTAAGACTTGCATATATTGTTGTTTGCTTCTACATAATGCAATTACTATGTTCTACTTTCACACCTGAATTTCTGTATTTTCTATCATTTTAACTTGACTTCACGACTCAGGCTTTTCTATTGTTGGTGTTAAGTTAATACAGAAGTTTTCGTGTATCAACACAAATATTCATGGTTTGCTTGTCAACATTCAATCTTTCGGCATTTCATTTGGGTACATAGGATATGTGACTTAAAAGGATAAATTAGATAAAACGGACTTTTAAGTAGAGAGGAATGACTATAAAGATTCATAAAGTCGAACCCATATGTAATTGATTGACTGTTATATGATCGAATGTATAACTTCTTCTACGGAAACCTTATAGGATTTAAGTTATATGGACTACAACACTGGTAGTGTAAAAAAAAAAAAATACACTGTATACTAGGTTATTTACCATTTAATTTAGGTTATCGATCAATACTTAGATAATATAGTTACTTGTAATTACCTTTTAAATGACATGATGATTTAAATATTTCTTACACTCTCAGTGCATAAAATTTAAACTCATCTCCATGACTTCACAATAACATTTTAACACGTCCCAATTTGATGTATTACTTGGCCTTAAAGACTTAACAAAGACAGGGTATGTAACAACAACCTAAAGTGGTCAGAAAAGAAATATAACAACCCAATCATCGCATTATAGTGGACTAGAGTCAAGTCAATAATAACTGTACAAAGTCGTCTGATTGACCTAAAGGCCAGTGGATGGGGACCACATTTTTTTTATAGTTGCTTCAAGTTATAAAACATAGGTTGTCTTCATTGGGCAAAATAATCAGACAAAACGAAAGACAAGTTTGAATATTTGATTTATATAAGATATATTACACCAATTGCTTACAACTATAATCCTAATGCTTTCCTCTATACCAAAATATATTGTTCTGTTCCTCCTCCCTCCTTTGTTCTTTCTTCTTGTTTTAGACATAACATGAACCTTCAAAGCCTATTCATGGTCAAGAAATCTGTTTCTGTTCTTGTCATTGCTATTCTTTTCATTACCTTAGCAGATGACACTCTCTCTATATACCTCAATTCTAGTGCTTGTATTACACATAGTTGTGGTAATGGAGTTAAGATATCATACCCCTTTTGGATTCCTGAGAAACAACCACCTTATTGTGGCTTACCAGCTTATAATGTCACCTGCAATAAGGATAAGCCCTTTCTTCATATTTCTGGTGATGAATTTATCATTAAGGAAGTAGTTTATACAAACAACTCAATTCTCCTAGCTAAAGCAGATGTGTTTGATGAAGATAACAAATGTCCAGTACCAACACATAATTTTAGCCTCAGGGGCACTCCGTTTCGCTCAGGGCCTAACACTGCAGATCTCTTCTTCTTCTATGACTGTACTCAACCTTATGAAAGGGAGACATATGCTGTGATTTGTGCTAGCAATGCCACTCATCATTCTTTTGCTGTTTTTCATACTGAGCTTTTGGAGCACTATAACTATTCAGTCGAATCGTGTCAGGATCCTGTTTACGCCCTTGTTGAGACTGACTCTCTAGATAGATTGCTAAAAATGAATTACATGCAAGTTCTGCAAAAGGGATTCTTTCTACAATGGGATGGGACTAATTGTAGAGCTTGCCAGCATAGTGGAGGGCACTGTGGTGTTCAAAATAATGAATTTATTTGCATTTGCAAAGACCAACCCCAACAAAGAACTTGCCTTCATGGTAAATCTAGAAGCTATAAGTTTAAATCCATGTTTGACCAGATTTCCATCTATTGTGCAGAAAAAATTTCCTCAAGTCCTAGATAAAAATGCCAAGCCATTCTGTTATTTATTGATCATATTAAGGGAAAAAAAGTTTCCACTTTAAGTGATAGTAGCTGATTAGTTATACTTTTGTATCAGTTGATCATCTGTTATGTTTTCGTTTCAGGAAGAAACAAAATCGGATTGAAGGTTGGCATAGGTGATTGACCTCTGAAGTTTTTCACTTTGATTTATCTTATATCCTCTATTCTCAAGAATGCTCAAGAAAATTGCAATATGCATTTCTTCTTGCAGGAGTTGGTGCAGCTGCGTCTACCGCTTTGATGGCAGGTGTAATTTTCTTTATCTATCGTTGTAGACAGAAGAAAATTTATGCTGGTTCATCGTTGTTCTCCACAAGCATTCTTTCGTATCCCTCCTCAATAAAAGACCCCGAAAAGGCTACTACCTTAATCGGAGTTCACCTCTTTGATTACAATGAACTAGATGAAGCCACTAACAATTTTGATTCCAAGAAAGAGCTTGGAGATGGTGGATATGGCACAGTATACAAAGGTAAGAAGACTGATCCTATATTGAACTTCTAGTTGCTAATGTGTGACTGAGTTTGGATATGATGATTATAGGTAAACTTCGAGATGGGCGTGTAGTTGCTGTAAAACGTTTATATGAAAACAACTGCAAGAGGGTTGAGCAATTCATGAACGAAATTGATATCTTAACACGGTTGCATCATCCAAACCTAGTCACCCTTTACGGATGCACATCTCGCCATTCCAGGGAGCTTCTACTTGTTTACGAATACATTCCCAATGGAACAGTTTCTGATCATTTACATGGTGTACATTCAAAGCCTGGATCGCTTTCATGGAATACACGAATGAAGATTTCCATAGAAACAGCAAGTGCATTAGCCTATCTCCATGCTTCAGATGTCATTCACCGAGATGTAAAAACTAACAATATCCTCTTAGACAACAATTTCTGTGTTAAAGTAGCAGATTTTGGCTTGTCTCGGCTTTTCCCAACGGATGTTACTCACGTCTCAACAGCTCCACAGGGTACTCCTGGATATGTTGATCCCGAGTACCACGAGTGCTATCAGCTCACTGACAAAAGTGATGTTTATAGTTTCGGAGTGGTTCTAATTGAGCTTATATCATCACTGCCTGCTGTTGATATCTGTAGGCACCGGCATGAAATAAATTTGTCGAATATGGCCATTAACAAGATTCAAGGCAATGCATTACATGAGTTGGTGGATTCAAATCTTGGGTTTGACACTGATGACAAAGTAAGGTCGATGATTACTGCAGTGGCGGAGTTGGCATTTCAGTGTCTACAGAGTGATAGGGAATTGAGACCATCTATGCAGGAAGTCGTGGAGGCGCTGATGAGAATTCAGAGAATTAATAAAACAACAGGGAAAACAGATAAGGAATGTCCTGATGATGATACAGGGTTGTTGAATAGTATCACGTTATTAGTATCACCTGATTCGGTTACTACAAAATGGAGCAGCAGTCCAACGACACCCAACTCCTAGTTTTTGCTCACATTGCAAGTTTTCTGCTGTTCTCTAGGGTGGTACTTGAGCACCTGCTATGTTGGTTGCCAAACCTGAATTTCATAAGCTTTGATTAACTTGATTTTCGGCATGAAGGAGGATGTAAATATTTCAATGCAGCTTGTTTAATTTGACAATTCTTATTCGATTTCATCTTCTCAAGTCTGCTGATTCATTTTGTAGCTTGCAATAGAAGATTAAGATTAAGTTTTACAAGAGCGTTTAGTCAAGAGTATATTATCTGCATAGACCATAGTGTAGTAGACCTACTTGACTGATTTTGAACATAAAATAAAAGTTTACTGCTACTAAGCAACACAAAGTGTTTCTACTTTTTACAATCCGGATTCTACATGGAATTCACTGGGTTTGTTGTTGTTGTTGTACAATCCAGATTCTACGTGATCGCTCCTTTCTATTGATCTAGCTTTAATTTTCTTTACTCGAGTTGCTTTCAGCACAGTGCTCTTTCATCAAGACCACATCTCAGTGATATCTTCTTCTTTTTTTCATTGGGGCGGGGGTTAATGCAGTGATCAATCTGAGACCATTCTTGATCTGATAAACTGAAGAAGCAGAGAAGCTCATGAAATTATTGTACTGTCATAAAAGAGGAAAGAAATGAGAGCCTGTTCTTGATATTCTAATGAAACTCTCCACATTGTGTATAATTAAAAATGTGGTTTTCTTGATAGAGAAGTGTTTAAACTTCTGAAGGGTATTAGAGACTAAAAGGGAAGCCCGGTGCACAAAGCATCCCGTGTTTACGCCGGGGCTGGAGAAGGGCCGCACCCCAAGGGGGTGTGATGTAGGCAGCCTACCCTGATGCAAGCATCAATGGCCGATTTCACGGCTTGAACCCATGAGCTACAGGTCACATGGAGACAACTTGACTGTTTCTCCGAGGCTCAGGGGGATTAGAGACCATTCTTCATAAATCATAAACATTTCCTTAGATACACCCTAGTACAATATACTGAAATACATATATTTCACGGTGGATTATTCAAGTCAAAAACTCATAATTACAGACACAAATTGAAGTTCATTAGAACTCTTGTAGAAAGTTTCTTCATTGGCAGCCATGAAAATATATGAAGGACTATAAAATAGTAGATGCTTCAGAAGAACTAAGAGCTGAACTTGAAGGAGAAATCAAGAAGGCTTTAAGGGGCATTCCTTGCGCGCTCAAAGAATGTCTTCCTGAACAATAAGGAGTACATAATAAAGGTTTTGGTGGTACTTCTAATGTCAAGTTACCTTCTAACATGTCAATAACTTTGCTCATCGATGGCCTTACTGCTGGATCGGTTTGTATGCACCACAAACCTACTAATATCATCTTCCTTGCAGTTTCTTCTTCTTCTTTGTTTATAATCCCTTGAAGTTTCAGCTCATCGTCTAGCTGAACGTGCTGATACGCCCAGTAAGGAAAATATATCTCACTTGTATGGCTTACGTCTTCTTTCACATTTTTTCTTCCTCCGACCATTTCTAGAACCATCATTCCATAACTATAGACATCAGACTTGTGTGAGACTCCTCCGAAACTCCTACTGACTACTTCAGGAGCAATATAACCAATCGTCCCTCGTGCTCCTAACATAGATACAATGCTTTCTTTCCTTGTGCAGAGTTTAGCCAAACCAAAATCTGATATTTTAGGACAGAATTCCTCATCAAGGAGTATATTGTGAGGCTTTATGTCAAAATGCAAAATTCTTGTGTTGCATCCCCGGTGCAGATATTCCAATCCTTTTGCAATTCCAACTGCAATTTGATACAATCTTTGCAGTCCCAAGTGAGAGCCATCACTATATATGTATTTTTCTAGGGATCCATTTGGCATGAAGTCATAAATAAGAGCTCTTTTTCTCCCATCAACACAATATCCCAAAAGAGACACGACATTAACATGGGATGTTCGACTGATGCTTGCAACCTCATTGATAAATTCTTCTCCATCACCTTTAGTTGCTTTCAGAATCTTTACTGCAACAACACGGCCGTTAGCAAGAATACCTTTGTAAACCCCTCCATAACCTCCTTCACCAAGCTTATCGTTGAATCCGTGTGTCATTTTCTTGATTTCCCTATAGCTGTATCTCTTTGTTGCCAGTGATCCATATTGCTTAAGTAAGGCCTCTAGACTCTGATCTTCTGTTTTGCCGTTGATTAGTCTTATGCACTTCTTGAATGATTTTCTATATTGTGCGTACATTATTCCAAAGAAGATTAAAATCCCAATTCCAGCAACTGAAATTCCTGTTACAAGAGGAAGAAAAATTATTGGTAGTCTTTGAGGGAATATTAAATCTCAATTCTCATGTAGGCTGCAAATATGAGGGTGAGCCTTGGCGTAATTAGTAAAGTTGTTGTCATGTAACTAGAATGTCACAGGTTCGAGCCGTGAAAACAGTCTCTTGCAGAAATGCAGGGTATGACCGCCTACAATAGACCCTTGTGGTCTGGCCCTTTCCCGAACCCCGCGCATAGCGAAAGCTTAGTGCACCAGGCTGCCCTTTAGAAAAGAGCATGAACTAGGAGGGAAGTGAGTCATACCTGTTGTCAACTTGAGTAAATGAATCTTTCTTGCAAAATTAGTGTTTGGTTGCATCAAAACTAACTTTTCATCAACTGGACAGATAAAAGGAAGAGTTGTATCTCCACAACAACAACGAAACTCGTTATCAAATTCACATATCCCTCCTGAATCTTGACAAGCCAAACAGCTACCTGAGGCATCACTATAATCCACTTCAAACCCCTCATTCACAGCCTCCTGCAGCTTTAGAGTTGCGTCCCACAGTTGCGTATAAGCAGTAGAAACAAGAGGAACCATAATACTGAAAGAACATCCTTTAACATAATTTCCAACAATTTCATCAGCAAAGAAAACACCAGTGTTGGTTGTTCCTATCACAGAACAATTAATATTGCTTGGCAGCTGCACCTGTGACAGAACCTCAGGATTGCAGCCGTAGAATATGTTTATAAATCTAGTTCCAGGGATGTACCTGTTAGGATCGAAATAATCAGGTGTCGTGTGGAAGCTAGAAAAGTAAACCTTGAACGACGATAAATCAGATAACAAAAGACAAATATCTCAAAAGAGATACAAACATATAACATGATTCAGTCAGTTTGACATAGTTTGTAGTACTAAAATATACTTATGCATCAAACATGCGAACCAAACAACTTGATCCACCACTAGCTAGTACTTACCTGAGACCGTTGATTAAGGTGGTGTTGTACTTGTTGAGATTGGACAAAGAAGAAGATTTTGGACAAACGTTAAGCCAAAGATTATCATGCACAATCCTCATTCGAGTTGAGGATTCATTAATTGTAAGTACACGAAATTTTGAAGGTTGATAGCCGACGTATTTTCTTCGTGATAAGAAAGGAACAGGTAAAGAGGACAGATTATCTTTGCAATCAAGAAAGTAATCGTCTCGGCCACATGGTCTTGGTCGCGCACTACCTCCCCAGAAAGGATACTTAACACCATGTATATTTCCACAGTTGTAAGCAGCTTCACAATTTATACTCTCACCTTCAAACAAAAAGCTGTAAGATGATGGAATTGTGGTGACTAAGGTAAGGAGGAAACAGGTCGAGAGTTGATTTAAGTATAACATAACCATTTCTAGCTCTGGAGCATATGAATACTATATAAATTTCAAAGTTGCAGAATCAAGAACCGATCAAAACACTCTCTCGATCTGGTTAAAGAGTTGAATTCAAGTCAACTGAAACAGCTGAATCAAGTAAGAAACACGTATTACTATATATGATAAGGACTCTATTTCTGAAAATATTTCTTTTTTGGGCTCAGAATTGTCAACACTTCCAGCTCCCTCANTCTACACACACAAATCTTTTGAAATTTTTGGTCTTTCCATACTTTACTTTATACAGAGATACGAAGAAGTCCGCTGTTGCAAACTTCCAATTATATGACTGAGAATTCATATTTCAAGCTTCCACGGCACAAAAAGTTAAAAATACTCGCAGTCGGTACACAAATTATGTTGGGTTTTTTAAGCATTAATATGGCTTAAAAGATGGTGAATGGAAAATAGAGCAAAATGAAAATTTTAAGTTTTTCCCCCTTACAAAGGAACATTGTCCCATATTGGAAAAAAAAGAGGTTTTTAATGGGTATATAAGCAATTACTCTTCTTCTAGCTCTTAAAGAATTCAAAATAAGGCAAGCCTCGTACCGTTGTTGCTCTCTCGCTCAGCTTCCAATTTGGATTTGGATTTGGTCAATTGATGGATTAATTTTTTGGACCAAATTTATTTGTTAATAGTAAATATTAATAACAGAATATTAATAGTAATATTAAAATCCAACGGAATATTAAACGTTTTTCCGTTACCCGTTTTCAGTTTTTTGGTTGTGTAACTGAAAATTAACATCCCTCTTCAATTCCCGGATTATTATTGCATAAATTAGTCATTTATGTTATGGCCATTTTGCATAAACAGTCATTCTGAAGAGTTGCACCTCTTCAGTTTTCAAACCAACATTGGCTATAAATACAAGTCCATTCTCTCAGATTTTCCATACGATTTTTTGAGTTCTCCTTCTTTCTTCTACATAGTTTTATCTTCAAAGAAAGCAACAGTAAATGTGATTTGCTACCGAACTTTGTGTTCGTTGAAACACTAGGGTTAGAAGTACCACTACACCAGTGTGTAATTCGTTCTATCCCAGGAGGAAATAATCCATAACCTTGGGTACTAGGAGGGGATTAAATTCCTTAAGGAAACACTATGAATTCAGCGAGCTCGGATTCATTCTTGTTTCGTTTACATTTTCTGTTTATATGTTATTTTATTTTTCCAGAATTAGTTTACAAATATAGTTTACTAACAAGCTTAAGGAATTTATTATTTTCTGTATTTGTGTTATATTCACTGTTCTGGAGATTAAAACCTTTGTGATTTTCTACTCCGTTGGAGATTAAAATATATGTGATTTTAACGTTTGCTTGTGTCATTCTTTTACAGAAATGACTAATGATAACGGAAACCAAACTGTTCCGATGGTGACTGCCAAGGCATCGACAAGCCGAACACCGACATTAGCACCAGCAGAAAAACCCGAAAAAATTTTCGAGATTGATTTCAAGCGGTGACAGTAGAAGATGTTCTTCTACCTGACCACTTTAAGTCTGCAGAAGTTCATTAAGGAAGATGTTCTTGTGCTGCCCGATGAAACTCCAGAGAATGAACGCTTTCTCGTGATTGCGGCGTGGAAGCATTCTGATTTTCTGTGCAAGAATTATATTCTTAGCAGACTGGAGGACGATTTGTATAACGTCTACAGTGGCGTGGAGACGTCAACAGAATTGTGGACTGCGCTTGAAAAGAAATACAAAACTAAAGATGTCGAGTTGAAAAAATTCGTTGCCGCTAAGTTTTTGGACTACAAAATGGTAGATAGCAAGTCTGTTATTACCCAAGTCCAGAAATTGCAAGTGATTATTCACGATCTCCTTGTTGAAGGTATAAATCGAATTAATACTGATGTTGAAAGTAGTAATTTTAGTATTTTTACTAACAGAATTTTCATTGAAGGTCTTGTCATCAATGAAGCATTCCAAGTAGCAGCGATGATTGAGAAGTTGCCTCATTTGTGGAAGGACTTCAAAAACTACTTGAAAAACAAACGCAAGGAGATGTCACTTGAAGATCTCATTGTTCGGTTGAGAATCGAAGAGGACAACAAAGCTGCTGAAAAGAGAGGCCGTGGAAACTCAACAATAATGGAAGCAAACATTGTTGAGGATCCTTTTCAAAATAAGAGAAAGAGGAAGCAGACTTCTGGACCGAAAAGTAACCTAAGCAAGAAGTGGTTCAATGGAAATTGCTACAACTGTGAGAAAGATGGACACAAATCTACGGAGTGCTGTGCTCCGAAGAAAGACAAGAAGAAGGTTCAAGCAAACATGGTTGAAAAGCATAAAGATGTTGATAACTTGTGTGTTATGCTTTCTGAATGCAATCTGGTGGGAAATCCTAAGGAGTGGTGGATTGATTATGGAGCCACTTGCCATGTTTGTGCTATTAGGGAAGCTTTTGCTGCATATGCTCCTGTTGGACCCGAAGAGATGCTTTCTATGGGAAATCCTACAACGGTCAAGATTGAAGGATGTTGGAAGATCTTTCTGAAAATGACTTCTGGCAATGTGGTGACTTTAAACAACGTCCTTCATGTTCCCGAGATTAGGAAGAATTTAGTCTTTGCTGGACTTCTTGCTAAGAATGGTTTTAAGTGTGTTTTTGTATCCGATAAGGTTGTAATAAGTAAGAATGAAATGTTTGTAAGAAAAGGTTACCTCACTGGGGCCTTTTTCAAGCTGAATATAATGGTTGTTAGAATAATAATAAAATTTCATCTTCGTCTTACTTACTTGAGTCAAATGAATTATGGCATATACGTTTGGGTCATATCAATTATAAAACCTTGCAAAAAATGATTAACTTGGAAGTAATGCCTAAGTTTGAATGCGACAAATCAAAATGTCAAATATATGTGGAATCTAAGTATGTTAAACATCCTTATAAATCAGTTGAAAGGAATTCAAATCATTTAGACTTAATTCACACAGATATTTGCGACATGAAGTCAATACCATCTCGCGGTGGAAAGAACTATTTCATAACTTTTATTGACGATAGTACTCGATATTGCTATGTTTACTTACTTAATAGTAAATATGAAGCAATAGACGCATTCAAGCAATACAAAAATTAAGTTAAATGCAACCTAACAAGAAAATCAAAATGATAAGAAGTGAAAGGGGTGGTGAATAAGAATCTCCTTTTGAACAAATATGTTTAGAATATGGAATTGTTCATCAAACAATGGCCCCTTACACGCGCTCAATCCAATGGGATTGCGGAAAGAAAAAATCGTTCATTATAGAAGATGATGAACGCATTGTTGATAAGTTCTAGTTTCCCACAAAACTTGTGGGGGAAGCCGTTCTTACGGCTAACCGGATACTAAATCGAGTACTCCATAGCAAAATACAATCCATTCCATATGAAAAATGGAAAGGAAGGAAGTTCAACTTGAATTATTTTAAAGTGTAGGGGTGTTTGGCAAAAGTACAAATTTCTAAACCCAAAAGGGTTAAAATAGGATCGAAAACCGTTGATTGTGTTTTCATAGGATATGTGACTAATAGTAAAGCATATCGATTTCTGGTTCATAAATCAGAAAATACTAACATTCATAATAATACGGTTATAGAATCAAATAATGCTGAGTTCTTTGAAAATATATATATCCATATAAAAAAGGAATGTGAGTCGATTGGTGAAGGATCTAAACGACCTCGGAAAGAAACAAAAGAAAGTACATTTAATCAGGAGGATCCAAGACGTAGTAAACATCAAAGAACGCCTACTATATTTGGACCAGATTTTATGACTTTCTTATTGGAAAGTGAGCCTCGAACATTTAAAGAAGCTATGTCTTCTTCGGAATCATTGTTTTGGAAAGAGACAGTCAATAGTGAAATAGAATTCATATTGAACAACCATACATGGGAATTGGTTGTCTTGAAAATAAATTGTTGGGTTCTAAATGGATCTTTAAGAGGAAAATAAAATATGATGGCATTATTGATAAATATAAGGCAAGACTTGTAGTCAAAGGATATAGACAACGAAAAGGTCTTGATTACTTTGATACATACTCTTCAGTTACAAGAAATACGTCCATACGGTTATTAGTAGCATTAGTTGCAGTGTATGGTCTTGAAATTCATTAAATAGATGCTAAGACGGCCTTGTTGAATGAAAATTTGGAGGAAGAAATCTACATGGAATAACCTGAAGGATTTGTGGTTCCAGGTAAAAAGAAGAAGGTATGTAGATTTGTTAAGTCCCTTTACATACTAAAACAAGCACCCAAACAATGGCATGCAAAATTTTACCAAACAATGTTGTCAAATGATTTTAAGATAAATGAATGTGATAAATGTGTGTACATTAAAAATATTCCAAATCACAGAGTCAATGTTTGCTTATATGTGGACGATATGCTGATAATGAGTAATGACATTGCCAACATAAATGCTACTAAGTGTATGCTAACTAGCAAGTTTGATATGAAGGACTTGGGAGTTGCTGATTTAATTCTGGGGATTAAGATCCATAAGACTCCTCAAGGTTTGGCATTGACACAATCTCATTATATTAAGACAATACTTGAAAAATTCAAGCACTTAGGGTTTAAAGTTGCAAAGACTCCAATTGACGTGAATCTTGCATTAGCAAAGAACAAAGGCCAAAGCATATCACAATTGGATTATACTCGTGTGTTGGGATGCTTAATGTACATCATGAATTGTACACGACCAGATATTGCTTGTGCTATAAGTAAATTGAGGCGATACACGAGCAATCCAGGTCAATCTCATTGAATGGCAATAAAACGAGTTTTGAGATATTTAGAACATACCCAGGGCTTTGCTTTGCACTACAGTAAATATCCTACGGTGATTGAGGGATACTGTGATGCAAATTGGATCATCGGTTCAGCTGGTTCGAAGTCCACAAGTGGATATGTATTCACTATTGGTGGAGGAACGGTATCTTGGAAGTCGTCCAAACAAACTTGTATTGCCCGCTCTACAATGAAGGCTGAATTCATAGCCTTAGATAAAGCCGGTGAAGAAGCTGAATGGCTCCGAAATTTCTTGGAAGACATTCCATTTTGGTCCAAATCGTTGGCACCAATATGCATACATTGTGATAGTCAAGCGGCAATTGGAAAGGCTGTGAGCGTTATGTATAACGGTAAATCTCGTCATATACGACGAAGACATAAAAATGTTAGGCAATTACTCTCTAGAGGAATTATCACGATTCACTATGTAAAGTCAAGTGATAATGTGTCGGATCCACTTACAAAATGCCTAACTAGAGAGGTAGTTGAGAAATCATCAAGAGGAATGTGACTATGGCCGAGAACAAGTCATTGTGGCGGTAACTCTACCTAGAAGACTAGAGATCTCAAGATCTAGGGTCAAGGAGATCAAACAAAGTCATTAATGACGGTTCAACATTGTCAACTGAAATTTTGGTCCATTCTCGTGATGAGGCAATGTTCAGTACCAAGGATAAAACATTAAGGCTTTTTAATAATTTCTAAATTTGATACAGGGTATATCAAATAGTATATCTACGGGATGACACGTATATAAGTGTGAAGTATTAGACGCGTCAAGGAGAATTTTGTAAGGTCAGTTCTCTACGCACTTATGAAACCAGGCGGTGTTCATGGCTAAAACGAACACAACAATAAGAACCAAAGACGGTTAAAGGTTGGTGGTGTGACTTATGGTTGTCTAGGTATATACCAAAGTTCGACGGTTCAAAGATATCAAATCTACCAATTGACCGAGTATATCCGACATAAGTTCACTACGAAAAGTTCAAAGGGAAACCTACTTATCCAGATGCAATTAATCCTTGCTTGCGAATTATACATTTTTTCATGTATATTTCCGTGATATAGCCGTTCCCCATTGATGTGGGGGATTTTTGGGTTTCTTAAGCATTATTATGGCTTAAAAGAGGGTGAATGGGAAATGGAGGGAAATAAAATTTTTAAGTGAAATTTTAAGCCCTCCCCCTCCCCCATTGACAAAGGGACATTGTCCCATATTGAAAGAGGAAGAGATTTTTGATGGGTATATAAGCAATTGCTCTTCTTCTAGCTCTTAAAGAGTTGAGAAGAAGGCAAACCTCGCGTCGTCGTCGTCGTCGCTCGCTCGACTCGGCTCGGCTTCGGCTCCGGCTCCGGATCCGAATACGAATTCGGATTCGGATTTGGTCAAATCGATTGATTGATTAATTTTTTGGACCAAATTTATTTGTTAATACTAAATATTAACAGAAATGTTATTAAATATCCATTTTAATAACAGAATATTAATATTAATATTAATATTCCATTATTCATTTTCAGTTTTTCGGTTGTGTAACTGAAAATTAACCTCCCTCTTCAATTCCCGGATTATTATTGTATATCCGAGTATGAAGGGCTCCTATGAGGACATACAAGTCCTCAAACTAATGGAAGCAGGAACCCTAATAGAAAGAAAAGTATATGGAAGAAAGGGGATGGCCGGAGGAGTAAGAATTCAAGTAAATAAAGAAAAGTATGTGGTAATTGATTGGATAGCGGCTCAATTCCTAGGGCAGCGACCCATAAAAACGAAGGAGCTTTTCATAATAGGCTCCATTCTCTCAGATTTTCCATACGATTTTCTGAGTTCTCCTCCTTTCTTCTGCATAGTTTTATCTTCAAAGAAAGCAATAGTAAGTGTGATTTGCTATCGAACTTTGTGTTCGCTGAAACACTGGGGTTTGAAGTACCTCTATACCAGTGTGTAATTCGTTCTATCGCGGGAGTAAATAATCCATAACCTTGGTTACTAGGATGGGATTAAATTCCTTAAGAAAATAGTGTGAATTCAGTGGGCTCGGATTAACTCTTCTTTCGTTTACATTTTCTGTTTATATGTTATTCTATCTTTTCCAGAATTAATTTACAAATACAGTTTATTAGCAAATTATACAATAAGAAAAAACCCAGTAAAATCCCACAAATAGGGTATGAGGAGGGTAATGACGTACTATTACTTTTGAGAAGGTAGGGAGACTGTTTGGATAGACCCTCGGCTCAAGAAAAAAAAAACAAAAGAAAGCAGTAACACATCAAGGTAAAAAATAAGATAATCAAAGTGGAAAGAAACAATCGGGAGAGGTCCCAATCAAGGAATAATAAAATATTAGAATAGTCCTAATACTACTAGTATGTACAAAAGATACGCTCGACTAGTTACTATCCTTCTACCTTAATTCACACAATAAATTATCTTGATTCTTTTTATGTCCTCGAATATAAAAATGCATATAAATGAACTATGAGTAAATGAATATATAAAGAGCACATCGTTTATCCGTAAAATGGTACAGTTGAATTTGTTACGTGGTTTATAGAAAAACGAACTGATTTGATCCAAAAATGATTAATAAACAAAATTAAAAATAAGACTTAGCGGTTAAAATCAAATGACAGGCTTGGCTCCAAGAGTAATGCCTCCGAGGACAGAAATGAGAACAATGTAAAAGAGTAAATAAAGTTATTTGATTAAGCTTGAGAATGGAATATAGCATAAATTTTGCCAAGAATTTTCGTGTCTTACAATGGCTGTTAAGCTTGCTATTTATAGCAATACCTAGGGAAACAAGATTGAAGATCCTAGAATCAAGCCACACTTAAATGATAATAAAGGAGCCATTGATAAGCATGTAACGACAGACCATGGATGCAAATATTCTCTGCAACGACTACACATTTAATGCCAGAGAATATTCTTCATTGAATGCTATTTGATGGCAAATACGTCGATCATGCTCTCTTCGGGGTCTATCCGATATCAATTGCAGTTGTTGTTCCCGATACTAGTTGTTACTTGATTCGCTTTTTATCTGTCTTCGATTCTACGTGTCACCTATCATTCAATCATTCATTATAAACCAATTTCCCCTTATACAGTAGGGTTGAATGCAAACTGAAGGTTTGACATTTAGTTATATAGTGACAGAATAATGAGAGATTTATAAGTAGGTGTATTACTTTTGAAAAGTCATGCACAATAATGGTTCATTAATAGCCCATATGAGGGGAAGAAGCTTCATACTAGCTGCATATGGATGTTGCTTGCTCCGTGTATGAGAAAAACTCTAGGACTTTTTGGCCAAGCCAATTAATGTATAAACTCGTCTGGTGACTAATTTGACTCTTGATAGCAACATATACTGTATCTTTCACATTCTAAGTTTATTTGCAATATCTGCGTTTTCGGTTTAATCTCTTGATATATCTCTCCTATCTACCTTTAATTTTAAGCCATGTTTTTTCCCTTCTTTTTAGGTTTGTGATAGAGCACCTCTACCACTAACAATAGATCGGAGATTCTGGGTCGCGTGAAGGATATAAATAGAAACATTATTGATTTTTGAAAAGAATGGAAGTAATTATGAATGCGCTTATGCTATGTCTTGTCGAGTTGTAGTCAATAAAACGTGTACGTAAGAAGCAAAATTTTATTTTGTGTTACACATAACCAACAAGGTCATTTACGCAAATAGGATCATTAATTTACGTCGCTATTTAGCCTTTGATAATATATATATTAATTGGAAACTTAGTACTAATATCCTATAACAAATTAAATTACAATATGATAATGTATATGTTATTTATATAGGGTACTTTTAAGGGGTCTGGATTTGCTCCACTATCCTATCCTCCGGTAATTATAAATAGGCCTTTAGATTAAAGCCATCTGTCCACCACAAAATTCAAAAGCTGAGATTCTAATATTCCTCTTTCTCCATTTCATCGGACCCAACAACTTCCAACCGGCCATGACCTCATGAGTCATTGACCTCTCCCAACTCCATAAGATTGAAGATGATAAATTTCGATTAAGTCCAAAACAACACAAACAATGACTAGATTGACCAAGGCACTCCCCCATTATCACTCAAAAATAAAAGAAAGAGCTATGGGTCATCACTCATGGAAAGAGTATAAAAATAAAAGGAAAGAGCGTTGTAAATCATCCATGGTGTTTGGCAAAAGAAAGAGCTATGGGTCATCACTCATGGACCTCTATGTATACCCAAATCAGTGAGTACATCATTTATCAAAATTAATGTGTAAATGGATGTCACACCTTATTTTGCCGAAGATAGAGAGTTTTTTCAATTAAAGTGACATTACTCGAAATTAGATTATTTATTTAATCTTGGAATAATTGTTATGGTGTCTCAAGTCACCAATTTATTTTAAAATCTCAAATCAAGGAAATTGACTCTATTTATGGTCCGCGAACATAGAAGACTGAGTAAGAAAATCTAAATTAACCCGGGAGAAAGTATGAGGCACTTCCAAGTTCTGTGATTTTAGCTTGATCTCTTAACAAATTACAATCAGCTTAAATGTCTAATTATTACACGTTTTAAGCCTATATGCATTTTTGCACCTCCACCGCTTTTATTATATTTTAGGCACTTATGAAATTTATTTAAACAAGTCACGATGTCGTGCACCTGTTGTTTTGTACACATTGCAGGTCACGCCACATGAAACGCACCCGTAATTTAGAACATGTTTATTATTATCGTTTGAAGTTGTAAGGTCAAGTCACATGAACGTGCACTCGAATTTAGGATTAAATGTATGATGACTATGTCACGAGAACCATACTCATAGTCACAATAATTTCTTATTAATCACACCTAAAGCAAACTAGGGTATTTATGAGTTAATTCATTTTTCTAAGTTCGGGGCTATTTGTGAAAGGTTATGGGTTATGGTTAAACATGGCAGCCATGAGTTATAACTTTAAATTACTAAGATTAGTAAAATAACCGGGCAAAAGGGCGAACTGTTTTCATAGTTGAATGCTAACTGTATTTATATTAACTTAAGTTGAACTTGTAAGCCAGTGGCTTATTTAGGAAAAGAGCGTACTTATTTAATGCTGAAAATTACGCCTAATTTGTAAATGTGTTAAAACAAAAGGACGCTTCCCAATCTTTTCTTGGCTCTCCCTAATGGAGCCCAGTACCCCAACCCGTAACTCAAGCCAAAAAATGGGCCAGGCCTAAAATCAGGCCCAACAATTACTGAATGACCAATTTACAATGCATAATCATTTCATATACTGCAGGAATAATAAAATTAATTACAACCCCTAACACATGAATGTTTCAAATTATATCACAGTTCTAAATTTATGATCCAAATTTGTTTACACTGCTGAACACTTCTATGTACTGAAACTCTATATTTCTAAAATTAAATTGTGTAACAACACTTAGGAACTAAGCAATTGTCTTATGACTCCTCATGCTTTTGATTTCAGCTTGAATTCCACACTTAAACTCCATCCTTATGGGTTAAAGGTGTCAATAGTGAACAGGATTTATTCCTCATCCTCATGAGTTTACTAACTATAGTAGTCAACCAGTATCATGGACTGTTCAAACATGAGAATATTTCAATTATTAACCTGTTAACGGAGACAAATTACTAACAGTAACAACTAGCTATTGACAAATAAGCTCAGCTTCAAATATTCAGCTCAAAATAAAACCAAACACTAATAAAGAAGAAAGTGATCAGATCAAGTGAATCAATGCAAAGAACACACGAAATCAAGCACAGTTATGGAATCAAACATTCAGTTCTATCATTTCTATATTCAAAGGGGAATTACAACTGGAATTTCGACATACCTAGCAGCAAAACAAAACACCTGAATAGTGACCAAATATAGGTCTGGTTGAAGAAAATTCAGCTACAATTGGCAACAACAAACAGCAATAGATGGCCAAATAAAGGCTGAGGAGAGTAGCGAAGGAATTCAGCTATAACGCGACATCCGAGCAACTTCAATTAACAAATGAAACCCCAGCTTGATCAACCCAGAAAATAAGAGATGAAACTCTCTGAATCAACTAAAGAGAGCCAACTTTTGAATTGTTTAGAACAACCTAAAACTCTGCAATCCCTTTTTTTTGATGTTTTTTTAGATCTAGCTTTGAATTTCAGAGTGTTTTCTGCCTATGAGAAAGAGCAAAGATGGCAAGAAAAAGTGAGAGACGTGTGAATTCTCTGGAAAATATGCAGAATCAAAAAGTGTCCTCAAATATGTAGGGTGGAGTTTTTTTTATATCAAAATGAGAGAATCAATTGAAACATGTGTCATCCCTAAAAAATAGGGAAAAGGCATCTTTCTACAACAGATTTGAACAGCTGCCCTTTTCAGATATTCTTTCCTTAATTTTCAACCCTTTTTACTTCTGTATTTACCCCTTTTAGCCCCCAATTTGACCTAATTTCCTTTGTCTTATTGTATTTTAGTCCCTACATACTCTCTTCTAGAAGATTCAAGCTATTAATCAGAAAAGATTACTTAATTTTTCTATTAACTCCCTCAAATCCATGTTAACACCCTTCTTTTAACCTTTTCTTTTAACTCACTCATTTTACTATCCTCTACCAAAAATTACTGTCCTCTTTCTCTTATCAGAACCAAACGTTTAATACATAGCAACGAACTAAACTGAATTATCAGTAAGCTAACAAACTTAAGCTAAACATGACTCAACAACTGATTAAACAAGTTGATTAAGTAGATATGCAATTCAAAACAACAAATAATTATCAATTGACCAAGTTCAGGTTCAATTCAACAAATAATCACTCAGAAAGTTAAAACAATTTACTAACAATTAACTATTAACCTAAGCATGTCAAAAAATTAAGACTTAACTATCGATTAACAATTAAATAGCGGATCATCAATTCTGTGATTTATCTAGGTGCGATCTAAGAATAAAAAGAAAAAGAAAAAGAAATATACCTATTGGGCTATCACTTTCAGCAAGAGGTATAGAGAGAAACTGGACGGGCCCTAATTGAAATAACAAAAGCGACTTCGACAAGAACCGTCCGATTGATTAGATTTTGAACGAGCCTTGGTGACTTCGAAATGAGCTGAAATTAACATAAATTGATTTCTCTGGTCAAGAGCAATCGATTCATGTGAGTTTGAGCCAAAACGAATCAGCAATTGTTGACGAAATCAGAAAGAGGACGAACTTACGGTTCTCTGGAATCTCAGATCTAAAAATCGTTGAGTTTGATGAGTTTTTCGGGGAAAATAATGATGGATTAGGGATGAAGATGGATTAGGGATGAAGAGGGATTAGGGATTGTTTGGCGTTAATTTGGGGAGCTTTGGTGGTGATTCGCGGCCGCGGGCGATTTCCGGCAGCGGTCTAAGGCTAAGGGTGATAGAGTGAAAGAGATGAGGAAGTCTCTAGGGTTTTGGGTCTTGTTTCGGACAGTTAAAATAGAGAAGTTTTATTGTGTGTTTCCCATGTGTATCACAAATTTATGAATCTTAATCTTATATTTTTGGGTCCATAAAAAATGTGAGTATACAAAATTATAAAACAAAAAAAATATCTCATCATACAATTACTATTAGTTATACGAGACACAAAATAAAATTTTCCGTTAAAATAGAAAAAGATATCAGTTCTCCGCTGTTAGAACTGATCTAATGGGCGGTGTAGATCAAAGATTGACCAAGGTTGGCCTGAAACGACGTAGTTTTATGTGAAAAATACGACATTTGGGCGTCTTAGTGATGGGTATTGAAATGGGCGGGTATTTGGATGAGGCTGGATAGGTTTGGGAAGGCCATTGGGCCGCTGGTGGTCCTAGCCCAACTTGTTTGGAGGGTTGGCAGGCTTTTCCTTTCATCCTCTTGAATTTTAATTTCCAACCTTAAAATATTTTTATCTAACTAAAACTAATTTGTAAAATTAAACTAGTTATCTATTTCACCTAATAGTTTACTAATTAAGTAATTAATTAACTAATTATACCTAAGACAAAGCAACTAATGTATTTTTTTTATGTATTTTAATAATGATATTAACGATGTAATTAAATCCTAAAAAAATGCGACTAAGGTGTTAGAATGCAACAGAGTAAAAGATAAAAGTATTTTTGATATTTTTTTATTTATGATATTCCTACTAGATTAAAAAATGCAACTAAATGCAATAAAATGCAGACAACAAATAGAGAGAAATTCTTTAAAATCCTACAAAAAATCTAAATTAATTAGAAAACTATTTTTGGCACTTATTTTTAGGTGCAATTTTATGTAGGACAAAAATTATGTGCTCACCATGGATAGTGTAAGCTTTAGAAAAGATAGAAATTTTGGAAAATTATTGAAATAACAAATTAGAGAAGAATAAGCATTTCTTTCTTCTATAAGAAACTATGCTTCTTGGGGTTAACTGAAGATGGATTTGAAGTTGTTGGTTCGATGAAATAGAGGAATATTAGAATCTCAGCCTTTGAATTTTGTGGTGAACAGGTGGATTTAATCTAAAGGCATATTGACAATTACAGGATGATGGGATACGGGAGCAATCCAGACCCATAAAGAAGCATGTGAAACAGTTAGAGGTCATTAGTAAAACAAAATTTTAGTATATGAATTAAAAAATTTGTTTGTGTTATGAATGCTACACCCCATATTTTTTTTATGTGAAAGTACGTTATAAATAAATTGATGAAAGTTCGGAAATTAGATGTTACATTCTGTATTTTCATACATTAAAGTTTCGTCATAAGTTAATCGACGTAAGTGGGGGAATGAGATTTATTTTGGAATTAAAGTATTATGTTATTTCAAACAAGTGATAAGTAAATTCGGTGAAGGTGAGAGGGTAAGCGAATCGAAGGAAATGATTTTTCATCGAAGTTTGATATTTTGAGAAAAAATACGATTCAAGCTATAATATCCCTTATTTATGGACTAGTACCATACAAGGCACCACATGACTATGATAGTAAGGTGTATAAAGTATGTTAAAAGTAAGTGGTATTTTAAGTAATTTGAGGTAATTCTTAATTATGTAGATATTTGGTTAATTGTAGATTTTTGGTGAAAGATTAACTATGTAATTAAGGAATTGTGGATAAAATCTAAAAGGCCCCAACGTGGCAACCAAAGACCATTAGTTAAATATAACTCTTAAGTCATAAAGTAATGTAACACCTTATGAGAAATTGGTAGCTTAGTCACTCCCCCAAAGTGGGACCCACCTAAAGGTTAAAGACAACCTTTCTAATTCACAATTGAATTGCTCACCTTAAAGAAGAAAGCTTCAACAAAGGTGTAACGATCCGATCGGTCGTTTTGAGCTCTAGTACGTCGTTCAGCAGTTTGAGGTCATGAGCAGCTTCACTTCAGGTATTATGACTTGTACGCATGATCGGAATTGAATTTCGGGAAGTTCCAACTTGATTTGGAAAGAGAATCCTCATTTTAGAAGCTTTAAGTTGGAAGAATTGACTAAGATTAGATTTTTGAGTAAACGACCTCGGAATCAGGATTTGAAGGTTCCAGCAGGTTCGTATGATGATTTCGGACTTGAGCGTATCCGGATCGGGTTTTGGAAGACCCGGAAATGTTTCGACAACTATTGTGGAAGTTAGCATTTTTGGAAGAATTTCATAAGTTTGGGTTGAAGTGCATTTCAGTGTTATCAATGTTTGTTTGGGATTCCGAGTCTGGAAATAGCTTCGTATGGTAATTCTGTTGTTTGAAGCGTGACCGGAAGTGGACTTTTTGATATCGGGGTCGGATTCCGATTTCGGAAGTTGGAGTAGTATCATAATGTCGAATATGACTTGTGTGCAAAAGTTGAGGTCAATCGGATGTGATTTGGTAGGTTTCGGCATCGAATGTTGAAGTTTGAATTTCTCAAGTTCATCAAGTTTGATTTGGGGTGTGGTTCGTGATTTTAGTGTTGTTCGATGTTATTTGAGGCCTCGAGCAAGTCCGTAATATGTGTTAAGATTGATTGGTGTGATTGAACGGGGTCCTGGAGGCTTCGGGTGGATTCCGGATAGTTAACGGATCAAAATTTAAATTTGAAGAAGAATTGAAACAGCTGGTATCTGGTGTAACTGCACCTGCGAGGTCTTGGACGCAGGTGCAGAGCCGCAGAAGTGGCCTAGGTGCCGCAAAAGCGAGAGTGGCTGGGCTAGGCTGGGACTGCAGATGCGGTCATCTTGCCGCAGAAGCGGGACCGCACCTGCGGAAGGAAGGGCGCAGATGCGGGAGTTGAGGGCCTGGAGGAGGACCGCAGAAACGGGTTGTGGGTCGCACCTGCGGAACGGCAGAAACGGTCAAGTGACCGCAGGTGCATAAATGCTGGAGGCAGTAAGGTTCTTTTAAATTGGGGGTTGGGTTATTTTCTACCCCATTTCTTCCATTGGAGCTGATTTATGGAGCAACTTTGAGATGTCATTTTCACCACCAAGCATGAGGTAAGTGGTTTATGCTAGTTTTAAGTTAAATACACTATTATATATGGATTTGAGCATGAAAATTTGTGAAAAACTTGGGGTTTGAGGGAAAACCTAGAAAATTGGTATTCTTGGATTTTGACCACGATTTTGGGCATGAAATTAAGAGTAAGTTACATATTTGAGTTCGTGAGGTTATGGGTAAACTTTATATTCGATTTTTTTTGGAATCCGGGCACGTGGGCCCGAGGACGATTTGGTCAACTTTTCGAACGGAGTTAGGAATTTATCTAAATTGAATTGTTGTGAGTATTAGAGCNTTTGAGTTCGTGAGGTTATGGGTAGACTTTATCTTCGAAAAATTTCGGAATCCGGGCACATGGGCCCGGGGGAGATTTTGTCAACTTTTCGAGCGGAGTTAGGAATTTATCTAAATTGAATTGTTGTGGGTAATAGATCATATATTTATGGATTTTCTCATTTATTGGCTAGTTTTGGAGAGTTGTGCATCGATTTGAGTCGTCGGAAGGGCTTGGAAGCCGGTTTTGGAACTTCAGAGCGAGGTAAGTCTCCTTTCTAACCTTGTAAGATGGAATTGTCCCCATAGGTGAAATAATTAGTTATGTGCTTCTATTTGTGGGGGCTACGTACGCACGAGGTGACGAGATTCCATGCGTAGCTACTATTATGTTTAAGTCCGGGTAGTCTAGGATCCAAAATCATGCTATACTTGGAATATTTGTAATCTTATTGACAGTTTGAATTGCTTATATCACATCGAAGTAGTAAATGAATTTCTAAAAAGATTAAATCTCATTTTCTTACTCTGTGTGTGTGTTTAATTTTGGAACGAGTCGGACGCCTCGGCAGATTAATAGATGTATTTATGGTTCGCGCCATTCGACCCTCTGACAATGCACAGATTAAATATTGTTGGATCATATCGTACGTCCTCGGCATGATTTGTGCATGCTTGTATTTCTTCCCTGAGATTTATAGATGTTGGTATTTGCCTTCCCTGACCTGAGATATATTGATAATGATGATGAAATATAAATCTTTAGAAATCCCTTATTATTTGAGGAATTGTTTACCTGCTTTCAGGGTTAATGAGTCTATATTTGTTTTATAAATTCCATAATTTCCTCACATTTGCAATACATCATTATTGGACCACTAGGAAGTGTCGAAGTCGACCTCTTGTCTCTATTTCTTTGAGGTTAGACGAGATACTTACTGGGTACACGTTGTTTTCGTACTCATACTATACTTGTTGTGCATTTTTATTGCACAGGTTTATGTGTGGCTAGTGGCTTAGTAGCATAGCGACATGGTTGATACGGGGAATTTGGTGAGCTGCATCTTGCGAGACGATTCGCAGCCAGCATAATCTCCTTCAGAGTACTGTACTATATTATTTCATTCCTGTCCAATTGTATTCCGGACAGTTATTATTTTTTTTATTTTATTTCCTAGTAAATGCTCATGCACTTGTGACACCGGGTTCTGGAATGATTTTGGGATATTTGTGTTAATTCCTAATCATTTTTATTTAATTTGAAAAAGTTTTCTTTTACTAGTAAAATTGAAGGAAAAATCATAGTTTTCAACATTATTATAACAAAGCCTAAATTAAGTATTTATGATTGGCTTGCCTGACAGCGGTGTCCGGCGCCATCACGACCCTTAGTGAATTTTGGGTCGTGAAAAAAGGTATTGTTGCAATGGCAATGTGATTGCCTCAAGCATTCCATACGAAGGCTAATTAATACTATAGTAACGTGGGATTTGCGATTCTAAGGGATTACGGTGCAATCTTTCTCAAGAATATCATACGAATCGTTCCCTATTTCGATCTCGCCATTATGTGTTCTTCGCAAAAGATGTGTGTTTGAGGGATGGTCAAGAGAATCGGCTCAGGTATGTTAAGGCTATCCCTTCTTTCTTTTTGGCATGATCCATACGAAACGAGCAAATGCACAACTTCCATAAATGACTTTATTCATAAAAGTATTAGAGGTGCATATATTCTTGAATTACCATGTGTCTTATTATTACATCTTCTATT